CAAATTGGAAAAATGCTATCATCATTTTGTTTCCGAAACCAGGCAAAGATTCAAGACATCTTGAGAATTTCCGCCCTATTAGCCTGCTTCCCACTTTGGGAAAAATTCTAGGAAGAATTATTCTTACCAGACTTGAACCACTACTAACCTTTCTACCGAAGGAGCAATATGGATTCAGGAAGAAACTATCTACCACAGAACAACTGATCCGCTTAATTAATTTTATCAGCGACGGTATCTTCAAGAAAGAATCCACAGCCCTGCTGATGCTAGACGTGGCAAAAGCGTTTGACCGCGTCTGGCATAAAGCACTAATAACCAAACTTATCAACCAAAATCTACCCTACAATATTCTTAAAATTATTGACTCCCACCTCAGCAATAGGACTTTTCAAATAAGACTGAACAACCAACTCTCTATTAAAAAGAATATTCATGCGGGCGTGCCGCAAGGCAGTATCTTAGGTTCGATCCTATATTTAATCTATACAAATGATTTTCCCTCCTGCAATAACCAAATCAACCAAATGATAGCATACTATGTCGATGACACGGCAATAGCCATTAGATCTTTAAATGCGAACCAAGTTGTAATAAATATGAACAATCTTATTCCCACTATAGAGACATGGTGTGAGGTCAATAAAATCCTGATTAATGCGGAGAAATCCTAACTAATGCTGATCAGCAGAAAAAAGAAAAAGAGAAACATCAATAATAATGTTATTCTCTTCGATAAAATCATCCCTATAGTTAACCAAGCAGACTACCTAGACCTCACTATCAACAACAAACTAACTTGGAACCTGCAAGTTAAAAAAGTTATCAATAAGGCTCATGTTGCATATAGTTGTCTGAGACCAATCATAAACTCTAGCTCTAACCCTGAATCTCAAAAAAACGCTTTACACAATGTGTATAAGACCTATATTAACTTATGCATGCCCTGCCTGGGGATATATAAACCTAACTCAACTAAAAAGACTTGAAACAACCCAAAACAAGCTACTGAGACGAATCACAGGTGCTCCATACTATCTACCAAATAATGCTATCAGAAATGACCTGAAATTAAATACCATCAGCGAATATATTAGCAAACTAGAAATCTCATTCTTTAGTAATGCCTAAGACCGAGATCCAGTAGGCTTTAATGAACTATTAAATAAGGATCTACTACCAGATATGATACAGCACAACCCAATTACCTCGTTCTTATTATCAGATTGCATCCTCTCAAAGCGTTATAAATAATATTATCCCCCCCCCCATTATTATTACCATGGATACTCCCAGAGAGGTGAAAGGATCTTCATGTGATCGCCGACTCGGGGGTATCCACCCCTAGTATTTTACCTAACTTATCCCACTCTTAACGGTTCTCAAACTATTTTGATCTACTATCTCACATGTAATAAGCCAGACACAGAGAATAAACCTGCGTCAACCAAAGCTTCTGCTACTTCTCTTGGATCTCTTGCTAACGACAATACTACAGGCTTCGCGGACAGGTGCTCCGTATGAAAATCCAGTCTAAGTACTATTGTCGTGCTATATCTTTTAAAAAGCAAGCATAAAAGTCAAATATTAGGAAAATTTACTTTGTAGTTATTTACCAGTTTTTTAATTATTTTGGAATGTCCGGAGTAGTTGGCATCTCCGCTAAGTCATACTTTTTTGTAATAAAAAGTATCCTGTCTCAAATTTATGAGCTTGCTTTATTGGTCTAAATTTGAACCCTGATATAACGAATCGCATATTAGCCAAGCAACAAGTCTATTGTAAATAATGGTTCACTATATCTATATTTATTTTAGTACGCCAGTAGTAGTGTCGGAAAAAGTTATTAAATTTGTACAAAATTCGCATTATAAATTATTAAATAAAGAAGTATGTTGAGTCCCTCTACAACGTAGTTTCATTACAATGAAGTTTTTCCTAAAACGAAATTTTACTTGGAGGGTTAAATAATATTCAAAGCATTGTTGGTTGAAAATATTCTACATAAAATGAAGTAGTTTAACTTTTGAAACAAATCTTTCAGTTTTCGTCATTTTGGAAGCCTTTGAGATGTTTATCCCTTACATTCATGTCATTTTTAAAGAAAGTTGCATTAAAAGTTGGAATATCTGAATAAACGAGTCGCTCCCAGATGTGTTTATTTCTGAAACTAGACGTATTATTCATTTCAACGAAATGACTAGTTTTTTTTTTTTGCTTTATTTAAATAAACTGGGCACCTGGGCCACGAAGCGGCCCCTATCCCATTCATCATTAAATTACATACAGTAAGAAAAAATACATTGATTTGGCAAGCATTGTGGTAGCCATAAAATTAAAAGTGAAATAATAAAACAATGAAAAAATTCAATATGACAAATTGACGTTTTTACATAACATTAGAAATATTGATTGCAGACTTAATGAAGATAATACATGATTTGATAAGTACAATAATTGATTTTTGAAAAAGGAAAGACCTAATTGATGAAAATGACTCATTTATTTTAAACGCACTTTTAGAATGTGTATTATTTTCTTGTTAATTAAAAGTCACAATTAAATATTTTTTAACTAATCACTAGGATTTATCAATTTAGTTAAATGTATTTAAATGTCTGCAAAAGGAGACTTGAATTAACTACAAACGTACTACACTGTAAAAAAATTTGGTGCTGTTTGTCTAAGATAGGTACTCTGACCGCCACTAAGTCTGCGGCAGTCTGGAGCTATGGCAACAAGAAGAGGGCATTTTGAGGAGGTCTCTTTTTCTCTCTCCGAAACCAGTCGTAAAGAGGGACCCGGCACCCCTACTTAAAATAATCATACCTCGTTGCCATAGTCAACGCCTCCTATAACTGAAAGCCTCCACACGGTTTTTTATAGGTAGTCCAATCAGACCACTGTGAAGGATATCCACTTACCGAACGAGTCAGTTAATACAGAATATAGTTGAAAAAAGAAAGTGGTAGCAAATATATGACTAAAAATTTATTTTATTTATGAATATTATTGGCTTGCCTTAATCACTTGTCAACCACTACAGATTCAATTCTCAAATATATAACATAAATTTCTCTCAATTACTTTCATAAAAGGTTTTGGGTACATGAGCACAACTGGTTCGTTTTTTAAACAGTCTGCGCGGACTACTTATGAAAGACCGTGTGGAGGCTTCTTGATGTAGGAGGTGATGATTTCTGGCAGAGTACCTATCTTAGACAAACAGTATGTAGTAGCCACCGTTTCTGGCGTTGAGGTAACATTTTTTACGGTGCCACATTTTTTATTTACTTTTTTACTGTTACATTTCGACCTTTCACGTTCTAAAGAGGCGCCGACAAACAGGTGTGAATGAATTCCGCACATTCCAAAAGTGTTATTGTTGTTGTTGCTTATCCCCTTAGTCTAGAGCCCTAGACCAAGTCCAGAAGATCATGTCGCATCAGCAAGTCACAGACAGTCTCTCCATTGCACATCAGTTGCCTCACAGAGGCACCAATGCAATCCAAAAGATGAGATGGAGGAGCGATCGCCGAGCAATAGCAATAGGCATAAGTCTTTTCTTCTGAAGGTCAAATACTTTATATAGCCGGTTCTAAGTCTTGACAAAGCTGTTTGAGCAAATCTAGGACAAGTGCACTGCAGGGATAACCCGGGGCATTTGGCGGCATACCAATCATGATCTGGTGGGCGCTTCCACGATGAATTTACCCTAGCTAACTTCAGTGAGTGAACCTCAGACACTAGTAGTTTAGAGGAAGGGGAAGTAATTCCCAAAGTGTGTTCCAAAAATGTTCCAAAAGTATGGGAAGCAGAAGAGGAGAAAGCTTGTACAATTTTTTTTCCAATGCCTACCTAGAAAATGACCTTTGCCATACAGGCATCTGAAGGGCAGATTTGTAGGCCACTGTTTCAGGAGCACCAATTAGGTAGGCCAACATTGCTCCTTTAGTAAAGACAGATAGAATCAAAATGGAATGAACATCCATACCTTGGCCGGGATTCAAACCCAGAACCTTTCTGAAACAAGGCCAGCTCCCTGGCCCCTACACAGACCTGTCGGCAGCTTGTAAAAACATTAATTTTAAAAATAATCGGTGACCAGAGGTCACACCTGCAATTTACTTAACTAATTATTTGTTTGTTTATTTAGTGACAATACATGTTTTAACACATTGCTGACCGGTCACGAGTTAACTCGTGTTTTCGTGGCCAAGCGTTGGTGACTGGTCACGAGTCACAGCATTCATGTTAGCAGTGATCTCGTGGGGAATATTTTAAAAAGTGGACATAATTTTCCTTACTTTTCAAGTTTTACTGTTTAATTTATTATAACTTTACGAAACCTGACATATTTGCAAAAGTTGTGGTGTACCATTACACGTAGGTGATTGTTATACTTTTTATTATACGTAAAAGAAATATTAAGAGTTGAATAATAAATAAAAAAAATTTAAAGTTTATTTATAGTGTTTTACTTCCACGTCCGTTCCACAGAAAATTTGCCAGTCAACAGTGTGTTAATATGTATAAGTATCTGTTGTTTCATCACAAAAAAAATCGTTTAAAAAACAAAAGCATTTTTAGTAATATATTCACATTAATTCTTTGAAATAATTGCTATTTTGATAATTTTATATAATTTTTTGCACAATAACTACAGTTCTTTGCTTAGAAATGTATTTAGTTTTTCTCAGCACTAAAAATGGTGGCAATTGTACAATTTTCTAGCTGTTCACTATAAGTGTATGAAATAACGGTAGATTAGTATGATATAACGCGATAGTGTATGAATTCACTACAACCTAATGTTCAATATATACCGGGTTCTTATTTGCGAGGCATTTATTTTAAACTTTAATACTGATTATACTCCTTAACATATAGCTTATTGTTGATAATTTTTTCTGGATAAAGTTAACAAACTTTGCACTATTTTCTTCTTTGTATATAAAGGGAAATATATGTATAGTGAAATAATTATCTGTTTTACTTACTACAGAAATTAGGATATGATCCAGTAATTAAATACATAGAAGAAAAATTAGAATCCTTGTAAGGTCGATATTGATCAGCTCTATACCCCAATGGAGCGCATCTGGTGCTATCGTTGCCACAATTGCCACATTCCCCTCTCTGGAAAGCCTTATAATTTCTGCACCAATAACCGATCATTTTACAAGTACGATTACGAATAGTAGATATAAAAAGGGCAGATGCCCCTTCATGGCCACCTACAAATCAGAGAGCAGATAATTAGAGTAAGAAAATATGTATTCAGACACTTAGAAAATACAATATTACATACATATAGATATTCGAAAACTATCAAGAGTAACGAGATTGATGTTCTAAATTCAGTAGAGAATGGGAAATTTTAGAGAAACTATCATTTATCTATTTCAAAAGTATACAGCTTGCAAAAAAAAAATGAAAGAATTGTTCCTGAGAAATTGTACTTAAAAAAACGACTTTTTTCAAATTTTGATTTCTCAGGAACTATTCAACCGATTTCGCTCAAACTCCGTAGCTACAAAAGCAATAATATTAAAAAAATTAGCAATACTACTACCAATTTTCAATTTTTTCCTGGTATGTATTTTTTTCTTTAAATATTAGCAATTTAAAATATAATATCTAGGGGTAATTACGATTGATTAATTGCGGAGATAATAAATAAATAAAACTTTATTGAGTTTCTACTACTTTTTTTAAGTTTTAGTCCCCTGTGGCATTCCAGCAATCAAAATTACATCATTAACATACGTTGTACATTACTTACATGTAAAGCAAAAATATTACTGGCATGCAAATTACTATGTTCTTTTCAAAATAATTTACAGGGTGTTAGATATTTAAAAACCAAAGCTTTAAGAATTTTTGGTAATTTTTCCAACATTTTTAGCGCCTCACCATGAAAGAGCAGGAGTAACGTAACGTGGCATATGAACTTTTAAATCATTTATATGTAGTGGTGTGGAAAATAAACTCAAATGAACAAAAAATAATGCATTAAAACACAAACTTAGATGACATTGGAATAAATTTTTACAGAAAGCGTATAAAGTTGGCAGTTCTGAAATTATTTGAAATCACCTCATTAGTAAACTGAAATAACAATACTAGAAAGAGTTGCTGATTTTAATCTTTTTTAATAGATTTTTGATTTTGATCAATCACCACTTTTTATATTCTTAAATCCATGTGGTATTTGTTGTAGTCACTCTCAATAGCAAATTGAAGAAAATATGTGATATAACAAATGTATAATTTAATTAACCCACAAAGACATTTATGGCCTCAAATCTATGAATAATTTCAGAGTCAGAATAGAAAATNATACTGAAGAACGTTAGAAAAAAAAACTCCTTTTTTTAATGACAGCTATAAGTTAGCAAATGTTTCTAATCTACTCCTTAATTATTTAAAAGAAAAAAAATCGCCTCCTGTCTCATTTTAATCAATAAGTTTTAGGCTAATGAAAAAATTCCATTTTTGTACAGACCCATCGGTTGAGCTGTATAAAAATTTTATACAGCTCTACCGAACAAACTAATTGAAAATTCAAGGGCTAAATTTATCTTTTCAGATAAATTTTTTCATAACACTGGATCAGGGGCAAAATTTGTTCCTTTCAGCCGCTAACCAAATTTCAGGAAGGTAGAGCAAATGGTTTTGAAATTATAAGAGACACACTCTCAGACAAACTCTTCATTTTATTACAGATTATAAAAAATATTCATATTTTTCTTTGTTAAATTTTTTATAAACTGAATTACTGCTTGCTCCCCTTTGCATGTGAAAAATGTATCATATTGATAAATTAATTTTAAAAGAGAAATGCTCTAATAATTAAAAAAATTATTTTCTCAAAAGCATCTAATGACAATTTCTTGAAGGAATTTCTCCAAAAATCTCTATTAAAATTATAGAAATATAAAACTTAATAAATTGAAGTAAGGGACCCTGCAAAATTTAATAGAGAAATTCTCTAATAATTAAGAAAATAATTCTCTCAAAGGCCTCTAATAATAATTTTTTAATCTGATAGACACGTAATACTTAAGGGTTTGAAATAACAATCTTACTTATTACATAAAAATAAATTGAAAACTTTTGTATTAGATTTATTATTTTTATAAATTTCAATTACTGAAACTGAAATTACAAAAAGTGCTTATAGATTCATTCAATGTTTCTTTCATCTTTTATAACACATTACCATGAGAAAATAATAATTGAATGCAAAACTTTTTCCATCAAACTAATTCAAAAGAAAACATATAAATGTAGCCCTTCAAAGGTCCTATCTTGGTCAGTTTCCGAATGAATGTTTTAAGATCACAAAAGAAAACATTGTTCAATGAAAAGAAGAAAAATGAAACTTCCTATTTTGATAGTAATTGAATCTTTGAGTAACAACATTAAGAAAAACATCAAATCTATTTCATTTAGAGTGTAAATAAAAGAAGTTACTCTTCATAAAGGTCGAAAAGTATTTTCATTGTCGAAGTTGATAAAATTTTTTACGTATATGATCTATGGTTTCTAGAATATCACTGATAAAAATAGGGCTTGCTCAAACTTTATATTATTATTTTTTAAATGTACAATGTATTATTCATGCTTTAATAATTTTAAATGTTTTATTAATCACTCTGTCACAAATTATTTACTACATTCGAATACTTTGTACTAATTATTCATATTGATGATTTTATGATTTTGCTTGGAAGTTTTTCAGAGATTTCAGGCGGCTATGCATTTACTTGCCATTTACTCAACAGTATTTGTTGTTGTTGTAGTTGGCCATTAAGGCATAAGAGGTACTATTGTTCTTGTTTTCCAGTGGCTCCATCTACGGGAATGGGACGGCCCATACTACACTAATACGTCACACCCGTTTGTAGTTCGGACCCATTCATACATCCATTCATTTATTCATCCACTGATCGTAATTTTGACCTGAACCAGAGAAAGATCAATCTCCAATTCAGTACCCCCAGAAGTATTGATTTATTATGGGAACATGGAGGACTTTGTGACCCGATGTATTTAACTTGCACCAGTCACTATTTACTACACTGGGAGTCTTCAGGAGGCTGAATTCGAACTCCTCTTCTCACAAACGTAAGTCTAGTGCCTTACCAACCAGGCTATCCCCTCTATCATGTATTTTCTATTTTGAATAGGTCCTTTGTGGTCAGTGGTCTATGTGGTAGCTGTTAATAGGATTCAAGCACCTTGCTTGAATAAATGAAAATTAAAAGAAGCAGCAACAGCTTGCTTTAAACCGTGTGTGACTTTAAATGTAGATTGATGGTCAATGTGGGGAAAGGCTTGATCGAGTTGTCAATATTGTTGTAGTTGAATCTGATGCTATGAGTGGATCTGTGATTAATTTATGGAGATTTTTATTTATTTTGATGATTGTGATATGAGGCATCGGAGGTAAAGTGAGCAGCTATTGGTCTGAATTTTGTATATATATATTTTTTGTAGTTTTCAAAGTTGAATATCTGGTTGAAGTTCACTGTATTGTATTTTTGGGCCAGGCCAAAGAAATCTGCATAAGAGTTTTAAATCTTGTCTTGTCTGAACTGAGCACCTGGGCCGCTCAGTGGCCCCTATCTCATCCATTATGATTCTCTTTTATATTTGTAGTAAATCTTTATGGCTAACGGTCTATGTGGTGGAAGTAGACGCTTCCTCTTACAAGGTTTATTAGGCATTAGGTTCTTTTATTAAAAAAAGTGGTAGAGTATTTACTTTTTTAACTTAATGGTAATGCTCTAGCTTAAAGAAGCACAGCATATATAGCACAAAAGAGCATGTACAGTGTTCCAAAAAACTGACGACCCTAAATAACTTATCCTAATGATCGGATCTTCACATTTTGGGACTCAATCTTAATGGTTCGAGAGGCTGACCTCAAATATGTTAATTTATTAGTGCAGACGATATTTTAAGTTAAGAAATCAGACTCAAAAGCGTACTTTCTCTGAACAAACATACCTTTCTTTCGACGGATTCTGATTTTTGGCCCCTAACATATTGCTGCAATCTGGAAAATATTCTCCCCTTAATTTGGATTGGAGAGCAATCCAAAGTTTGCGCCCCTTAATGTTTATTTTACTTTTTGTGTATTTCGCCATTGCTGGAGATTTTTTTAAGCGAATTGAAAATTTTTTGTACACAATTATGAAATTTGTTTTTCCAAAGATTACTCCATGCAAAAAATTCATTTTAGTAAATATCTATTATTATATTATTGTATTTTATTATTTAATTATTTATTATTTTATTTCATTATTATTTTATTACTTATTATTTTATTTCATTATTATTTTATTATTTTATTTTATAATTTTATTTATAATAATCGAAAAAATCTTGTGCGAAGAAATTGTGAGGTATACAATTCTTTACTTCATTGTAAAATATGTAATTTTGCGTGGCAAATTATAAATTTTGAGAGATATCGGCTTAATAATTCTCAAAAACTCGAATTTAAAATTTCGACTTCCTTAAAATTCAACTTCTCAGGAACAATATTACCGATTTCGCCCAAATTTTACATTTTCTATGCAAACTTGCATACTTTAAAATGGTATAAAACTTTTATACCATTGTATACAATTGTATAAAAGAATAAATTTTTAAATTGTAAAATTTAAAAATGTTTCTACTATTAATTAATATAATAATAAAAAATAATAAATATTTAATAATGACTTTTATATTTGTGAGCAAAAAATTTTATGAGTCATATCAGCGCCGATAAATCAGTGAGAGCCAATCAGGGCTGGTTAGAGTAACCAGAACAATTTTGAGTCGAAATAATGGCAAGTTTCCTCTTTTGCGGGCAGAATTTTCTTGTAAATCTTAACATCAATATATTAAAGAGACTGAAAAATGTTTAAAAAATACATATTTTGATTTTTTAAGCTGATTAAAGATAAGGTTACTTTATGAATAAACCAAGGACATTATTTCAAATACATGACATGAAATAAAATGCAACTAAATCTAGTTGATTCAAGAAAAGAATTCAAATTCTCATTTGACTTCGTGTTTCCATGCACGTTTATTGATCGAGATTTTTGTTTGTTTCCATTTAGATTAAATTAGAAATATTTGGACAACAACAAGCAAGCAGATACATGAGCAGTCGTAGGTATGGAATCTATTAGCATAATAACCCTTCTTTTATTACGATTGTGAGACGCAGGGTAAGATATATGAACAAAGTATTGTTGTTTATCGTTCTTGTTTATCAATATGAAATTTTGAATAAAAGGGTGGCCTTAGAATCATTCGAAGGAAATAAAATTTCCACGAACATTGAACATTATTTTATTTTTCTGACAGCATCAATAAAATAGCCTTCTGGAAAGAGAAATTGCTCGTTAAATCTCAGCTATGCCGTAATAACTGAAATCCATCTTGTTAAACTTAGTATCTCGTTTAATCAGGACTCGTCATTAAGGAGTTCAAATGTATTTTGCAAATAATATATACGAACATAAATTTACTGATAAAGAAGTATTATCTTAAATGTCAAGTAAGACACTATGTAATAAACCCTGATAATAAGATATTGCATAACAGCCATTCTATTACAACACTTTAATTCTATTTAATAACTGTCGTTGAACAACCAATCCAATATTTTGGGTTTGCGGCTATGTTGAACTTGGAAGCTTTGCATTTTTGCATTCAATCCAGAAGACCAGAGAACTCCTGGATCAAATATTGATATAAATTTGCCTTCATAGGACTTTTTAATGGAACTAACCCGAATTTGCTGTTCATAGAGAGGAAATCCGGACTCCCGGTGGCTGAGTGTTAGCGCTTCGCGCTCCCGTGCCACAGTTACTGGGTCCGATTCTTAGGCCGGGCAAGGTTGACTCAGCCTTTCATGGGTCGATAAATGAGTACCAAGCATGCTTGGGAACTAAGCACTGGGGGTTCCGCGTTCGGCTGACCGGAACATCTGCTCCTGCACCCCAGAGCTCAAGGTTAAGAAAACTGAGATAGGCACAGTAGGCCCTGGCCCTCTATGGGCTGTCGTGCAACTGAGTTTAGCTTAGAGAGGAAAACCACGGATGTCCCACAGTTAGATTGACGGCAAGCGGATTTCACTAAGGCATGTAAGAAAAGTATTATTGCTTTCCGTTTTTTTTAAAATCAATATGTACTTTTTGAATTAAAGTGTGCCTTGAAATTCTTTCGAAGGAAAGAAAATTTACATGAACCTTAAATTATCTTTTATCAGACAGCCTTCATAATTAATTTTCCGGAAGGCGAAATTTCTCGTTAAATCTCTGTTATGCCGTAATAACTGGAATTTACCATGGAATCTCAACATTAAACTAAACAACTATTAAAAAACTCTCTTGTTAATATTGGTATCTCGTTAAATCAGGACTCATAAAGGAATTCAAAAGTGTTTTGTAAATAATATGCAAGAACTTAAAATTATGTAGTTAAAAAGTATCATTTTAAATGCCTTGTAAAACGAGACATAAAATAGAAAGATTTGTTAAAAATATATATTTTTTCTTCTTAAAGGTACTTTTCTTCTATATTAATTTACAACGGGATTATAAACAAAGCTAAACAAAAGATTTAAAAAATTGTCACACTTTCTACCTGAAGGAAATATTATCCCCATAAAAGAAAAACTTGATGTATGCCAATTTGCTTATGCTCTCAATCTTTCCCAAAAGTGTTATAATTCTCTTCGCATCTTCCAAATTTTCATTTAGCTTGACAATAATGGGAGGAACAATGGGGACAATACCCTGAGCAATTCTTTTTATCCTAACACTAGTAGTAATAAAAGGGGAGGAGGAAAAAGCAAATTGTTTGGCTTACCTTTATAATGGGGTTGGACAGCAAAGGTTTGGTCGTTTGGAAAAAAGTCCACGTGTCCCAATTTGTGACATCCCCCGTGTCCTATAAAGGAAAAAAGTTTGTTTTGTGGTCAACGGTAAGATAGTGTCTCATTTATTAGATACGTAACTCAACAGGAAAACAAAAACCACAAAATATGAAAAGAAAAAAAAAACAAGAGGGTAATATTTTATACCAGATATTTCAAAAAACCCATACTTTTATCTTTCTGCTTAGCTGTTTATTTTCTATTATCAAGATATTTAATTATGAGTATTTGGCAGAAACTGGATTAATATTAATACATTTGGTCTAGTTTGCATTTGTTCATTTTTTTAAGTGAACAATAGACTATCCTTTATTTATAATATTATATTACATCTATTAATTCAAAACCAATAAATGTTTATTAAAGCAAAAAACAACGTGTATAAAGCAGAAATGAAAGTATATTAATAGATACCAGGAAACTTGGTATATCGCGATATGATGACGATATGATCTTGCGATATGATCTTTCACTTGTGTTTTATTCGTATTGTTTTATGCTTTAGTCTGCGTAGCAAAAAATATACATTATCATTTGTTAATTATAAATGTTTCTTAACTTTTTCTATCTGAACTATGCAACAAAATACTTTTTAAGCCAAAACTTCAACTAAAAAAATTTAAACTTTTATGAAATATTAATAAATTTATTTTATGACATCATAACTAACTATGAAATCATTTGTACATCATTTGTAACTCATTATGACATCATTTGTTATCATTTCACGAATAATGTCAAATACTATCAAAGAGCATAGAGGAGCATTTTCAGAGTGGCTATAATCAAAAAAAAGAAAAAAAAAGTGATTTCAAATTATTTTATTATAGATTTAGTAAAAGGCAGGCTTATAATTCTATGATGTATTAGATTTACCACTACCTAATTTGAAACAAAAATCATGCAAGCATAGTCAAAACGAACACGCATTAATTATATTAAATATATTATAGTTATTTATATTAATTATATTATAGTTATTTATATTAATTATATTATATTATAATTAATTGTATTAATTATATTATATTATAATTAAGTATATTAATTATATTATATTATAATTAATTATATTACTTATATTATGTTATTGTTCCTTGATGAGCAAATATCCCTGAAAATTTCAGTTGCCAGCTTATTCATTTAAGATCCTCAACTATGATTATTTCATTATTCGAAATTATTTCAAAAGACATAATTTGAAATACTATTTTTTTTAGTACATAAAACAATTTTGTGTGTCTTTTTTAAAAGCTTTCGGAAAAGTTAAATCTTTTTTTTAGTTAGGTTAACATTTGATTTTAAAAAAAAATCAGATTCAATTTGTTCTAATATCTACTCCGAGAAAATTTGAAAATAAATATATATATATATAAATATATAT